TAATTCTACTTAAGATCAAATAAGGAGCAGAAAGAAAAAAAGGAAATCTCTAACCCGCTGGGGGAAAATTTGATTGCCAGTCCGACAAGTTGTGCCCTATTTTAAAGCTTCATAACACATCTAATTTTATAAATGAACTATATACAAGTATATTCTTTGAAGCTGCATTTTCATTTCTGAAGAAAACGCTAACAAACAAGTCTATTTAGGTAAAAAGGGAAGAGAAGCCTGTAGTCGCAATACATCACTGATTAATGCTAATATGTACTAAAAAGCATTCCTGTAGAAGAGTGAATGTTAGTTTCTGAAATTGAAAAGCTGTCAAGAATATATTTTTATAGTATCGAATAATAGATTGTTAAAATGTATTGAAACTGTATTCAACATTTAAGTTATCGAACTTTTGCAAATGTATTTTGCGAGTGTCCCAGGCAATCGCAATGAGGATATACAAATAAATCGGACTAACACATAGTTAAAGATAGATTCGATAATGCTTTAAAAGAATTTACAATGGATGAGATGATTTCGGGAGATGATATTTTTTTCCATGCTTACAACAAAATCAAAATATGTAATGAAATTGCTTCTTTTTTTTTTAATATTTAATCTTTATTCAAGATTGAATTGTTAATCACGCTTTTGTCATATGATGGGTGCGGCGTGATTCGAACCGAGTGCCTACTGTGGGAACGAACTCGCATTGTAATGAAATGATGACAAAATACTTATATAATCCAGTGTGATTGTAGCTGCATTTAATAAAGACAAAGACTGTCTATCAATGAGCTTTTGGCCTCGCCCATTCGTTTGTCGAGCCCCAAATTGTATTTTGGACTTGGACATCGGCATAGGTATGGGCAGAATTGGCAGCGTTGGCATCATTGGCAAATGGAACGCCGAACAGCGTAATATCAACGCGAAAGGCATCGACAAAATTAGTTAATTAGGCGCCGGCACTGATGCTGATGTTGATGCGACTGTGGTCGCCACCATAGCCCCTCATCATTCAGTCAGTCAGTCAGCCAGTCAGTCAGCCAGTCAGTCATTCAGTCAGTTAGTGAGCCAGCCAATGTCAGCAGCCAGCGACCAACGACCGAACGCCCGGCCACCCACTTGACTTGACATCGCGTCAACAGTTGGCAAATGAACGCGAAATCGAACGCGTTGGCATTGCGTAAATTGCTTATGAAATTGACATCCAGGCGACGGAGACGGCGACGGACACGGCGACGGACACGACGACAGCGACAGCGGTGGCACAAACGACATCGATGGCGATGGCGGTGATGGCGATGGCAAAATTGACGACGATTTGTGCGTTTTCGCTGCGTATTTTCGCTGTGTCGTCTGCCGGAAATGGAAACTGCGGTAATGATGAGGCAAACGCACGCACACACGCACACACACACGCACACACACATCCACATCAATATGCCAACAGAAAGACAGATATACGCGCAGAGACGCATAAGGGAGGAGGCCTGCATATATAACCCACATAATTGGCAAATCACACACATTGATTTCAACGTATGTATGCGTTTGAGTGGGTGAGTGTGTGTGTGTGTGTGTGTGTATGTGGTTCAATCGTTCATTTTGCGATGGTAGTGTAACCGCAGCGCCTTCATACATACATACATACATACATATTTACGAAAACCATTTCCATTTACCTTTCCACTCCCAATCTACTCGTAGAGCCACATCCGCCTATACGTTGACAACAACAACTTACAGTGGTAGAATTTTAAAAAATTGCAATAAATAATTCCGCAATAATGAAATCTCTTTCGGATAACGCGTGCCATAAACTCCGTTATTTACATACACTTCAGCTGATCTCTTTTTGCCCAAAAATTAGAGCATACTGTTTTTTTTATAAATCAATTATTTTTTTTATCTTCCTTACAAATGAGATTCAATATGTTTGATAAATATTTTAGTTGGTTTTTTATTCATATGAGTCGTAAGAATAAAAACATTACAAAACAAGAATGGAATATTACTATAATTGGCCAAGGAAGGGGAATTCTATATGCTGATTAACAATAAAGTGAACTCAAAGTTATACAAACTAACAGATGAAAAGCTTAAGCAAAAAGTAATAAAATACTACGCGAATAGTTGAAATTTAAAGAGTAATATCATTAGAATATAAAGTATTTTAAAATTGATTTTTAAACGAGAAAACATATATAACTTTCAAAAGTCTTTAGCCAACATTCTGTTTTGCTTAAGCAAAAAAACGTTCTGAGAATTTTGGTATCACATATGAAAATATTATCCAGGAAAATTATTCCTATTCCTATACCTGTAGGAAGGAAGTATACATTGTATGTATAATTTGTATGAAAAGCTACACACATATATATCGTTGATCAGTTTTATAGTTTAATAAATACGATCATTAAAATGAGGTCTCTAACCAGATGTTTAATATTTCTCTAACAAAAAGACTTTAAAATATGTTATAAGGACATATGAATTGGAACCATTTCACCTTATAACATCAATCCTATTTAGCTTTAAACTAGTGCTGTTAATGAAGTAAGTATGATTTTATAATCGCATAATAGTTTTATTTAAAATTAAATGGTAATAATAAATGAACTTCTTCCGCTTCTGAACTCAATCAAACGCACTTCAAAATGTTGTGCAGCCCCATTGAAAACATTTCAAGGTGTTATTTTACCAATTCTGATTCCACATTATTCCATCAAATTATAATACGGAATACAGCTTGAGTATGGTTGGTCTGCCGGCGGTCTATTTAAAGACAACCGTACCACAAACGTCCGTCTTTTCAGACATTCCCAGACATTCTGAACCACTGTGTGACGAGCCCAAAATACTGTTAGAAAATATGGCGCATAATTTAAAGGCAATGATACCCAAACGCTTACGAGGCCTTAAATGTGCCTGCCTGCAAAGAGCGACGGCTGTTTGTCCCGTTGTGTGTAGGTGTCGTCTGCCTACCTTGCTCTTCAGCTCTTCTTCTTCGTCTTCATCATCTTTCGCAGTCAACGTGTGTGTTTATGTCATATAAGGCATCATTAATAACATTGAAACATAGCAGGCGGCCTGGCTGGCTGTCTCTCCAACCGCCAAACTCTTCAGACTTGCCAGCTACAGCCGCAGAAGCTTGAGGAGCAGCGACAACATCATTATCAAGACCCTGGCTCTGTCTCTATTCTACTCCCAATCCCCACCCACTCCCCACCCACTCCCACTCCCAATTCCAGTCTCCGGCTCATCAAGCAATTTTCATTGTTTGGCATTTCATTTTGTATATTTTTTCCTTTTCTTTCTGCTCGCAAGCAGGCAACTTTTTCGATTTGTTTCGAAGCGTTTGTGCTTTTGTTTTTTCTTTTTTTTTTTGGCAGCTGCAACGTTGATCTTAAATAATTAGGCAAACTTGGTGTCTGTTTTAGCCATACAGAAAAACAACAAAAGCGGCAGCAACAAAAAAAAGGAGGAAGCAGCACGGCTGAGGCCAATGTCTTCTTTCGGTAATTCGTAGACAATACCAGCAGCGAAAAAATGAATTGCTTCATTGCTGTAATTTATAACATTCGCTTGTCATTAACAGGCATTTTAATCGGTAGGAAGTCGCGCGCAGACACACACACACACACACACATGAATTCCCACACATGTACGCACGCTTGCATGTGTATGTAGAAGTACTTGTATGTGTGTTTATTGTCGTGCGATATTTAAAGAGAGTGCAAATATTCATTTTTGTTTGCGTGCCTTTAAAATTTGTGCACAATGCCAACACAACAAATTGGTAGTCAAATGAATGTTATATGCATATAGTATACAAAATAAGTGCTAACACACACACACACACACACACACACACACACACACACACACACACACACACACACACACATATGCACACACATGTATAATTAACATGCACAAAAAGACGCAATTATGGGGGAAAAATGGTAAAAATGCAAAATATTGTTACATGTGTAGCGCACAACAATTTTTGTTTGCGATGCATTTGTTCTCATTAAACAATAAATTAATTAATTATGCATGCAACGGGATGGGCCAAATTTAGGTCAGTTCAACTCAAATGGCTATGAATATTGTTATGCTGTTCAAAAATAATGTCGGCCGTTTGGCTCAGTTAATTTTGGACACAACTATTTAAGCGTCAAAATCTGTAATTTTGAAGCTTAACTTCGCTATCCTGTATACACAAGTAATGCTTAAGTTGCACTTTTTATTTATTTTTTTCATTTATTTAAAGGGTATATTTCTAACCGTTATTAGTATGTACATAGATGATAAGCACAACAATAAGAAGCGATATAAAGATGTCGTCCGTCCAGTATGAACCCCGACAGCTTTTGAACCATTATCCATAATAATGGGAGCATCAAACTTTTAATGAAGACTTGTCGAATCCGCATGCAAAACGAGCTTATTACAGAACATGTATAGTGTCAATTTTTTATATATCTGTCATAATACCGATCTAAGTAAAGATTACTTTTGTTGGGAAAACTTTTTCGTTTATAAATATATCTTTATCATCTGGTATTTATCTCATGATATTCTGAAGTACTATTAATATCAGTGCACCATATAATATAGCTGCTATAGGAACGATCGTTATTAAAGATATCCTAACCCAATTTTGTACATATGTTGTTTGTTTTTAAAAGAATCTGATGTACAATTATGAGCGAAATGGGTGAACTGTTATAGCTTCATACTATACTGACTGCATTATCAGCTTGGCATCTAACTCCGGTTCTATTATATAAATTAGTTTCCTTCACTATTATATAAGTACAAGTATACTTACTTAATCTGTATAGCTAATAATTCTATAATGCGTGGATGCATGCAGAGTAAGAGTTTAAAGAAAACAGTTTAAATTATAGACCCGAAAGCGAATCCTGACAGGACGATAAATTTCAAATGCTTAGCATAAGGGTGTCTTGCAAAATATTTCAAACCCATCGCCCAAAACAATTTCAGACTTGGTTTTAAAAACATCGTTATATCGATGGATATTGACAAATACTTTTATGGCTGGGACCTGTTGCACAAAACAATTCACAAAGATGTGAACAAAAAGTCCGACTTGCTCATGGCACTCGCTCACTTTTTGCTAACCAAGACCTACAGGCTACGTTGCATTGGTGTTGGGGATGAGAGGGCCTTTCTGGAGGATGAAGAGGGCTCCGAACTTCTCCCTGAGTATTGGAATAGTGATAGCACAAAATATGCGCTGCGATATGTGGGTACCAAGGATCTATATTTGCTGCTGGGCCATAAAGCTGATGACTCTCTGGTGATCAATCTATTGAACAACCATACGAAAAGTGTTTCGAACATTTGCATGGAACCGGAACTATTGGTGCAGGAACTAAACGGCGATATCAAGACGATTATGCCAACAGTGCCAGAAATTGTTCATCGTTATTGCAAAGAGCTCTTCGACCCAGTTGTAACAGGAAAGTTATGCGAAGTCAGCACACAAACAAATCAAACTAGACGTCTCAGGGAATTTAAGCCAAAAAGTGTTAAGCCATCGCCATGGTTTTAGTTCTCCAACTAACTTGTGAACAGCCAGAAACAAAAGACAGAAAAAAAACTAAGTCCTGAAATGTGGGTTTCGACTAAAATTCAATTCAGCTCAAATACAAATTTAAAAGTATAAGGCAAACAAATTAAAGTAAAATTTTTATTTGCAAAAATATTTCTCCATTATTTGTTCTCTGCTGAAGTTTTAAATGTATGTCTACCTTTTAAGTGTTCAAATCGATTTCTGTCAATTTCAATTATCAGCGCTATCAATATCGGTCAGACAATTATTTCCATTGTGTGCAGTATGGCCAGCATTATGAAATCGACCAAAAGTATTTATCACATTTTAATGGCTAAATAAGCTTTAAATGCAAATTAATTGCGCACATTTAAAATTTTAGGTTTAAAAGAGATATGATTACATCACATGAATGATAATTTATTTAATAAACAAGAAAGGAATGCTAAAGTCGAGCAGCAAAAAAAAAAAAAAAAGTTTAAAAAAATATAATTAATTTATTAAATTAAATATAAAATATTCCATACATGAATACATACATTTACAAAATTCCGGGAAATTATAGAAAATTGTGAATAGGGGGGAAGTGGGGGGTGCATCGGGAAAAATGAACAAACTCGTCCTTTCTCGGGCTCGGGAGAATCTGTATACCAAGTTTGGTTATTCTAGCTCTTATACTTTCTGAGATCTTTGCGTTCATACAGACAGGCACACTCGCACAAAACTAATATAGTATACCCTTGTACGCTTTGGGTACAGGGTATAAAAATTTAACTTTCTTGCAGCTTTTCTAGAATTGAAATTCTAGAATATATTAACAGCTTTAGCAAGCTATCTACAAAATGAAATCAAGAGTGCATTGATTATAAAGAGGGAGAGATATATATATATATATATAGTATATATAGAGAGAGAGAGAGCGAGCTCATAACATAAGATAATGATAACATACCCGTGTGCAATCCCAAACAAAACAAGCATTAATCAAAAGTCTTTTACATTTACATTAAATTTAAATTCGGCTCCAAACATTTTATTTTATCGAAAAATTGATCGATACATGCTATTCCCTATATCATGAAATATGTTAATGGAAATTATTTTCGTACATTAATCTATAAATCCGAATGTACAATTGTTTTAAATTTCCGACTATTTGATTTCCAGCAAGAAATGCCCCAACTCTTTTCTCATCAGTAGATTTTGTTCAGGACACACTGTGACTAACTGCCCAACTATTCTAGTCATGCCCAAAGCGCTTGAGACATCCAGAGCTGGTTAGTGCAAAAACTTGGCGCAGTTTACAGTCAGGCTGTCGTGTACGTACGAGTACTTAAGAGTTGTAAGTGCAGTTGGGGTGTAAACTTTGTTTGTCTGCTCTGTTTTTGGACTTACAGGTTTATTGGTTGTTTTCGCTTTGAAAAATCCTCTAATAATGCACTCTTGAAATAATATTTTAATGACAACTAGCTAAAGAGATAACCGATTGTTTGAAAGGTGATTACAGAATTTTTTTGAATAAAAATAAAACTCTCTAATGTGCATAGGAATCAACATTGAATGACTATGATGTGCTGAAAAAATGTTCAAACGAGCGTTTGGCATTGTTTTTTAAAAATTACATAATTTATGAAATTCACTTTCCACTCGAACAGACAGAAAGAAGTATACAGTAGTATACAAAACCATGAACTACATTTCCTTTACTTGCCATTTCATGTACTCGTACATAAAGAAGAACAACAACAATGGGAGAAATGCGATCACTTTAAGCCATGTCCGGGCCACAACATTTAAGCAGTTTTGCTTGTTAAAAGCTTATGCGTCGCGTTCACTTTAAACCGCACTAACAAATGCCACTTCATTCAGTAGATATTTGCGGACAGTGGCAGCAAATATACACACACACACACATACATACATACATACATTCACTCACACACACAGTCACACACAGAGACGAAATCACACACATCCTTTTCCCATCAATTCTCTGAGCAACAAACAAACAGATTCACACACTCACACAAACCTACACATAAGAGCCAACACGCAAAGCTCTTTTCACTACAAAGCGGAAGTACATAGAACACTAGCCAAAAAAAAACAAAAAAAAAACAGAAATAGCAAAAAAGAAGTAGAACCCTACAAGCTTATAGAAAAATACTGTGGCAAAAACTACACACACGCATAGACACACACACACACACACACACTTGGGACAAGATATTCATTCTATCGTAAAATAGGTGAGCAGCATTGAACATGTGTGTATTTGTATAAGTGTGTGTGTGTGTGTAAAAAATAGCAGCAAAAGCAAAACAAGCACCAAAGCTCTGGTCAACGGATAACAAAACATAAATAATAACGACAGTGGCAGCAGCGGCGGCGGCAGCAGATGGTGAGAGGAGGGTTGGGGTTGGGGTTTTGAGGCGATGGTTAGGGTGAGGGTGAAGGCAAGTCCTGCGATGCTGTTGGGAACTGTTTTCAAGTTTATGAAACGCGCATCGTATAGCTGGCGGATTATAAAGCGTCGCGCCATATCGCTTTAACGAACGACTCACGACGAAGCATGCCGCCAGACGCAAGACAGGCGCACAGGATGCCACACTCAACAAAATATTGTAACACAAATACACAAGGAAATGATGAAAATTATCCTTAGAGAAGAAAAGTTTTTCTGCATACATACATACATACATACATACTATATATTTTTTCCACTTTTGAAGCAAACTTTTGAAGCAACTTTGTCAAAATTAAAAGACTTGAAAATACTTAACTATTTATCACAACAATTCTTGTCTCTATTTTAAAGCCTCATTCGTCCCTTATTTCGCATTTAATTTTAATAAATAATTTAACTAAACTCGAATGAAAATGCTTTTAAATTTGGATTCAACTAAATATTTAAATTCAACTTAAATTTAAATATGTATTACAGTAAAAAAAATACAAGGAAGAGAATCGTAAGTTTCTATAATTGTTGGGCATTACCTGAAACATTGAAGCAGAATTAAACTGCGATGTTTAGAAATGTTACTGTATTCAAGAATTAAAATTGATTTGCAAGCCTAACTGGAAAAGGTGGATTAAAAAAATTAATAGAAAAGACATACAATTTTAATCTAATACATTTGAAGGAGCTGCTTAAGTTGTTATAACATTAAAATATTAGAAGTTTATAAATGAAGTAGTTTAAAATTTTGAAGACAATTTCTGACTAGCTTTCGAAATGTTTGGCAAAAAAAGAAGAGAAAAAGCCCCTGGCTCAGCTTTCGTCCTCGGCCAAGCTAAAGAGAACTTAACCTAAAGAATAAATGAGTCAACACAAAATATTTCCAGCCTGTCCCCTACATTAAAAGCATCCCTTTGAATTAAAATATTGATTCCAATAAATTGCTTTTTCCAATTACGATGGTTGAATCCCTCAGAAAAAATGAGCTTGTTAGACGCGATAATTGCAGGCGCTATCCTTCTCTTTCGTTTCTTTTAGTGCAGAGGCCAAAGCAATGCCAAAAACTAAAACTAAAGTACAAGTAAAGGAAAATGCCAATGCCGTGGAGGATAATGCGAATGCGAACGCTTCTGTTTATACTCTAGTGTGTATAGCTACACACATTTTTATGTACATATGTGCATATAACTCATTTATTTATTTACTAAATGTGCGAATGTGCGCGTGTATGAATCAATGAATGGCTACACGTGCAAGTGTGTGTGTGTGCATGTGCATGTGTATGTGTATGTGTATGTGTGTGATGGTGCGTTAGTATTTGTGCTTGCGTGCATTTGAGCTTGCGTTTGATTTAATAGTTTATTAAGATACGCGCCAAGTGCAGATTAAGGCTTGCGGACTGAACTGCTTTTGCAGAATTTGCTTTGCGGTCCACGCACTTAAATGTATACATATATGTACATATATACCTATATATATACATATGTATATACTCGTATACGGCAATGGTATGGAGCGTGGGATTTTGGCTGTGGTTTATGGACTAGAGCGTGCCATAAATAGAATTTGGTTATGGGGCGAACGGGTGTGTATGTGTGCGTGTGTGTGCGCTAATGGGTGTGAGAATCTAAGAACTGTTGAGCTTAAACCACGTCATAAGCTTAAAGTAGGGAAAAGCAGCAAAGTTTTGTGCCTAACAAACGCCATTTATGAATGAAAAAGTTATCTTCTTTCTTTCCGGCTAACATATAATGCGCACATTTTTAGTTTTTAATCCCTATCTAAAAAGTACTTACAACAACTTATAATACTACACATATTAAGGCTCCAAAATGTTGTGCTAATTTTTTCTCTTTCGCAAAAAATCATTTGCAGAGAAGGGTGGACAGAAGGGATGTGTATGGCTCAGCTTTTTTCGACACGATATCGTGTTATGTTTATGAATCACACACGCGAAGCCACAACAATAGGGGTATTAATCATTAAACCAAAATGAAATAAATTTCAAAGTTTTTCATTCATTTCTATAAATCCCATATAGGTATATTAAACTCTATATGACATTTTGTATGTAACTTCAAAGTTTCTCATATGTTACTTAATAATAACTTATAACCTTATAATATAGGGTTTATTTAAATGATATACAAAGGAATGCAGAATGATTGACAATTGTTATTGTGAGGAACAATTTATAATATTTGGGTAAAATAATTAAGTAATTAAATATTTACATTTATTGCGTGGCACTTCAAAAAAAACTTCTTCAGCTATAATTTACATAGAAGTGTAACTATAGAAAATCGAAAGGAAAAAAAGCAGGATCGAGATCCAATCCGAATCGGTTGCGAACATTGGGTAACATATTCAAAGCACCGCCCGGATCTAAATCAAAAGGAAAACCAAGGGAACGCGGTCTATAGCTTCTACGACCATGTGAACGTAACGGCATCCAGGTAAATATTTTATGTGTCTGTGTGCCAGCATCCCGGGAGTTTTCAACCATAACTGGAACCAAAAGTTCCTGGAGTAAGCGATCTACGAGCTCTACTGCTGTCGGTATGGCAATCTTTATCTTAGTGCTAAATTTGTTCACCAATAATTCCGGTGCAACACTAATATTTGACACTTCCATGGTATTGATGTGTAGTAGATTTATAAGCAAAGTGTCCTCAGTTATGTGGCCCAGCAATAAATATAGGTCATTCTTCTTCACATATCGCAATGCGTATTTCGACTCGTCAACGTTCCAATAATCAGGCAGCATTTCAGAGCCCCGTTCTCCAACTGGAAAGGTTTTATCATCTCCAATACCAATGCAAAGAGTGTTGTACATTTTCGTCAGCAGAAAGTGGACAAGTGCTATCAAAAAATCTGCCTTTTTCTTTATATCGCCTTCAATTGTTTTCAGCAATGACTCTGAGCCAAAGAAGAAAGTGCTCTTAGTGCCAACACTGCGTACAATTCTGTCAATGTCCATTTCTTTATACTATGTGAGCATGTAAAGAACTGTAGAAATTGAAATATCCTTGTGAGAATTTTTTGATTGAAAAAGATAGACTACTTACTATATTCGATGAAGTGGAATGATGAATCATCTCACATAGGATTTTGAAATCACAAATGAATTGTTATAGACGTCAGCTGTCGGCTTTTCCCTTCATTTGAACTACTATGTATATCTCGCTAAAGCCTTAAAATCAGTTAATCGGAATCAAAGTATATCAGAAAACGCTTAGCCATTTGTTTCTATTTATAGCTTTGAAGATATTTCTATAAGTTTTCTTATATATGAAGACAATAAGCTTTAAAGCCACCTTTGGTTCGTTTCTAAAATTATATTTCAGCTCCATTTTTTTTTTAAATACAATTAGTATACAAAATTATAAAATTAAATCAAATTATATGACCATTTTGGATGGCATTGTGACATCAGATTCCTAAATAAAAAACATGACAAATTTTTGCATTAATAAACTGTTTAGTGCTGGTACATGAATATGAACTGATAAGCTTGGAAATATATTCCTATATGGAGCAGAATTTATTTGCGCATAATTGGCCATCGAATTGAAAATGTATCTAATACGTCAACTTAATTATATCTGTCTGGTTGCCAAGCAGGCTATTTGACTATTTGGCTGCCGTTGTCCTTCAATTGAATGTAGAATGCTGGGATTACAACTATCAAAAGACCAGAAAGGTATTTAAGCATTAAGCCTGCATATAAAACAAATAAACGATAAATTTTTAATCGAGTGCCATTAAGCTTTGCTGCTTAGGGGACCCAAAGAATATTTGTGTTCAGCAAGCTTAACACAACAGGTAGAAATTAATACAATTGAATCGTTGCCACAGAATGATAACTAAAATATTAAGTAACAAGAAAGGAATGCTAAAGTCGAGCAGGCTCAACTCTTAAATACCCTGTACCACCCCACAAAAAAGTAATTAAATTAATTAATTAATTAAATTTAATTAATTAACTAAATTAATTTAATTAATTAACTAAATTAAATATAAAATATTCCATGCATGCATACATACATTTACATTTACATCAGAATCGTGCCTTATGCGTGTTTGTGTACTTGTACATATGTATGTATGTGTGCATTGGGCCTGGTTATATGGCTATAACTTTCTTTCCGATCATTCTATCATAATGAGACTTGGTATACGGTTATATAATAACTAACCTAATGTGACTACCAAATTTTAGTTCAAAATTCCAAGAATTACGGAAGTTATAGAAAATCGTTAATAGGGGGGGAGTGGGGGGGTGGATCAGAAAAAATGAACAAACTCGTCCTTTCTCGGTCTCAGGAGAATCTGTATACCAAGTTTGGTTATTCTAGCTCTTATACTTTCGGAGATCCTTGCGTTCATACAGACAGACAGACGGACAGACGGACAGACGGACAGACAGACGGACAGACGGACAGACGGACAGACGGACATGGCTATATCGACTCGGCTTGTCATGCTGATCAAGAATATATATACTTTGTGGGGTCTACCAAGCCTCCTTCTGTGTGTTCCATGTGCACTCGCACAAAACTAATATACCCTTGTACCCTTTTGGGTACAGGGTATAAAAAGTGGATCTCTTAAGCATTTATGCTTTAAATATAAATCAGCTTTATATTTTTAATGAACAATTTTAGCTGTCGTTTTATGCGACTCTCAGTAATATAACGGTTTTAAAGCAATAGTCATTCTGCTCTTCACATTAACCATTATAAATAAATATATATATTTAAATATATTATATATATATAAGTATATAATATTTATATATATATAAATTTCTCCAATATCTATATTGATTCTCTTGGGCCTACAACTGCAGAGCAATATTGTTTCGCACATAAAAGCGCTTCTTGAATGTCCTTTGAATGGCTATATTCAGTTAAGAAATCGCACATGCATTTGCTTATCGACTCGCCGTTGACTGACATTCATATAAAAACATTCGTGTGAGTTGCCGTCGTAAGTGAATTTAGTCGCTTACACACACACACACACACACACACACATACGCATACGCACACACATGTACACACGTACGCACATACACGCATATAAAATAATCTTTTTATGTGCCTGTTTGAGCGACTCGATAGCGCAATTGAAGGCAGCAGAACAACAGACCATGCGTTCTGGCCATTGTTTGATCTCAAGCAAGCAAAACGTCCCAAAGGAGTCGTCAATAAATGCGATAAAGCCAAAACATGCTCCCATTTCGGACGCCAAGGCAATCCAAGCCGCGTTCGTCTGTGCTCTAGCATTGCCATTGGCATTCGTTACCAGAGAAAGGAACTCACAATAATTTCGATGTCGTCCTGTGAGCTTCAAATGTTCCATTCGCCTGCCTCGCGACTTGACTCTCGGCGCACAGCTCCTGTGTGGATTTTGACCCATAATTGACTTGTACACATGCCAATTCCCCAGCTGCTGCGTGTCTAGGCCGCATTATGCGTTTATGCCGGGCAAACCATCGCCATCGCCATCATCATCATAACCATAAGCAACGGCATTTTACAGTTGGGCCACCGCGTCAGAGTGGCTTTACAGTTACAATTTCTAATTTTTTCTTGCATCTATCTATTCTCCGAATAGTACTAGAGATGTGCTTGTGATCTTGTCTTGAAGATCAGGAATGGAATTTTTTTTAAAATAAAAAATTCCCCTTTTTGAGAGACAATTTCATTGAATTTTAGCTTTGCTTTAGAAATGTTACAGATTAGAAGAGGTCCATTTAATTAGTTTTTTTTTTTATTAAATGTTTTATTTGTTTATTATGTCAAGAAATATAATCAAACAAGTCCTATCTCTTCCACTTTTGGCTCAGTTGCAAAAATTACAGTTCTTTACAAAAATAGTTGTTGTTCGAGTTCTATTGTTGTACAAAGCTAATCCTTAACTTACTGTCATCTCTAGCTTCTGCGATAGTGTGTGCAAAATACAAAAAAAACAAAAAAAAAAAACATAACAAGGAATTGCAAAAAATGTTGAACAATGACATTTTTAATGCCCCCATAGCTATCATTAGATGTGCGGCGGACGATGGGCGCACAAACAAAGCGCCAACGAACAAAGGCAATAGAAATAATCAATACAAATTTTATACAACAACCCAATCGTCCCTTCCCCCTCCCAAACCCAATCCCCCTCCCTTTCCTAATCCCCACATACCCACACACGCACATACATACACACAACAATGAAATACATTACAAATCAATTGCAATCGCTCGAAAATCGGCGTACGAATTTCCATAGACGAAGCCACGGACACTTTTGGTGTGGCAGGCGACGGCAAAAGGGGCAACATTATTATCATCATCAAGCGTACAAAGTTAGCGCCGGCGGGCAGCAGTAGCGACAACGACAACGGCAACGGCAACGAGGAGAGGGGGCGAGTGAGGAGGTAGTGGGTTTGCAGTGGCAAATCGGCAAATGAAACAAACCAGGATTCGCATGTACACAGTTATTGCTGCTGGTATAGTTGCTGTTGGTGTTGTTCCCTCACACACACACACACACACACTCTTACATAGATAAAGCGTCATTTCAACACATATGTGTGTGTGTGTGTGTGTGCAGCATTTCCTTTGGGTTATTTTCCGGGAACAACATTTCATGGCACTGATAAAGCTGCCATGGCAGCAGCCGCTGCTGCTCCACACCGCCTACTCTCCTTTTGCTCTCACCTCACAACAACAGCGTCGTCAGCAGCTTCTCTCTCGCTCGGTGTATTTGTTGTTTTTGTTGAGAATGCCGCTAGCCAAAATGAGGGGAAATATTAAGCTTGTGCGCTTGCGTTGCACTCATATTTGGGTAATTTATTTTTTCAGGGAAATTTTCGCTCAATTGTCGCTGCGAGCATTGGTATGTCAGCAGCAGCAGCAGCAGCAGCAACTGCGGCGCTGCCCGGGGGGCCGAAGCAGCAGCGACAGTAACAAAAACAAAAACCATTTGACGCAATTGCTCACACATGTGTGTGTGTGTGTGTGTGTGTGTGCGTGTGTGCGTGCGTATGTGTGGCATAGTCGTGTGCGTCGAGCGCGTGCACTCCAGGCAATGTCAAGTTGACACTTTCGCCAATACGCTGAGGAGACGAACTAGCAGAGGCAAGTCGGTCGCCGACGTTGAAAAACAAAACGATTTTTCGGACAGTTTTCTCAGTTGCATGCGTGTGTATGGGTGTGCGTGTGCGTGTGCGTGCTATCGGAATTCGTAACAATTAATGGCCGAACAAATGTTGCTGCAGACGTTCGGCAAACATTTTGAACAGATGTAGTTCTTGTTGTTGCTCCACAAATTTCAACAGCTCCTTTTCCGTAGCTTAAAACTCTTCACTACCATTATCATTCTCATCATCTTCATCAGTCTATAGTAGTAGTTGCTGTTGTTATTATTGCTGCCTATGTATGTCGCGCAAGGGTTAAGATTTCTAGCACACCTTTGCAACATCTTTAACACCAAACTCTTCAACTTCATCATCTATATTACCTTCATCATCATCATCTGGTTGTAGTTGTTGTTCTCGTCATTTGCAGCGTCATCATCGTCACCATCAGCGACACCCTCTGCAGAGGTTACATGCTCCAACTTTTTCGCCGCTGCCTCTGCCGCCACCATCCAACATAGCCAACATCAGCTTGCGCGCTCCCCCAAAAATGTTGCCGCCGCCGCTATTGTTGTTTGTTTGCGCCATCCCTCTTGCTCTCTCGCACAGGCCGCTGCGTGGGCCACCCACGAAAACAAACATAAAGGTGCAACAATGACGCGCTTGCCAAAACCAAGCTCTCGCAGCTTACATATGCTCTCCATTCTCGCGCACTCATTGCAATTACTGTCTCTTACTTTCGCTCTCTCTCTCTCTCTCTCCTACTCTCTCGTTGGCTGTTAACACTTCTCCTGCTGTGAAAGTGATTTCTGGCACTACTGTTTTCGTTTGCAACATTGTTGGCC